AGAAAGAATTAGAATGGAATAATATAATTATGTAAATATTTAAATGAATTTCAAATATAATCTTTATATACTTTATTTTGTTAAATCTAGTGTTTATGCATTTGCAACTAATTTATTTGATCGAGTACCATCCATTGACAATAGTTCAACGGAAGGAAAACAACTAGTAATCAATTAGCGATTTGTTCTCTAATGGTTTATCTATCGTTGCAGGTTAATGATCTTGGTGATATTCGATTTAATCGTGTTAAATTTTCTTATCCATGTCAACCAATATTGATTATTGTTAACATGTTGAAATTAATAATCAAGTCTGGTAATTGCAAAATTGAATTCGCATTAATTTATTAATCAAATTCTTCTTTTGTTTAGGACAGAAAGTGCAATTTGTTGGTATTTTTATTAAGTGTCTCTTTTTTTGGAGTAGAAATCACGCCTCTTTGACAAAGAAATATGCTAAAGAGAAGCTTCAATACCAAGTTTTGAAGCTACTGCTTGAAATAAAACAAATTAGTATACATTCGTTTCTTTATCATAATCAATAAATTCAGTTAAGACTTTAACGATCAGAAAAATAATAAGTACAGTAGAAGTGCGAATGATAAAATATTCAACCACAAGAATATAACTTATTTTGTATTAGTCAATATGAAATTAATGTAGGTGCATCTGGATGTGGAAAATCAACAATTATTCAACTTCTAGAACGATTCTATGATGTAACACATTGAGAAATAGTAAGTGTCACTTTTTCATGAAATAAATAACAAATAAATATTTTTTTGTTTATTACCTTAAATTAGTTATTTGATCATATGAATATAAAAGAACTTAATATTAATTCATTTCGCTCTCATATGAGTCTTTTAGGTCAACAACCAATCTTATGTAGTATGTCAATAGCTGAAAATATTCAATATGAATTGCAAAATTTTACATTTGATCAAATAATCAATACTGCAAAGAAAGCAAATACACATAATTTTCTTCAGCAATTACCACAAGTAAATTTATTAATTGTTGTTGTTGTTTATATTTGTCATTAATCAAAAAAGGCTTATGAAACATATGTTGGTATAAAAGGGAGTCAATTATCAGGAAGTGAAAAACAACGTATTACTATTTCTCGGGCGTCTTAAACATTTTCGATTTGTTTTTATAAGCTTTCTTCTTATGAGATTGTACAACAAGCTATTGAAACAATTCAAATAGAAAATCCTCTACAAATAGCAATCACAATAGCTCATAGACTTTCAACACTTCGTTCATGTCATCAAATATATGCTATTGATCAAGGACATATTATCGAAAGTGGTTCTCATGAAGAATTGATTCAACGACATTCACGTTGTTATCAGATGTTTCTTTTAAATAGTCTACAGTGATTTTTAAAAGTCTTTCTTTTTAAATAAATTTATTTTAACGATTTCAAATTATGATCATTTATTTACTCGTATAACAATAAAAAGGAACTTATTCTACATCTATGATTTTGATAAAATGATCAACATCGTGTAGAGCTCTAATTCCTGTTTTGTAAATACTGCTGAATACATCTGTAACGTTTGAGATTGGCTAGTTTCTTGGGAAAGCAAACAGACAAGAAACAAAAAACAAATCAGTCTTATACATGTTCGATACTCGAGAAGATTTAATATGAATCTTAAGAAATGCTGTACAAGGTCAAATAGTAATTTCGCTAAACAATATTTATGTAGAATAGTAACAAAAACGGTAGCCGTGAGATTAGCATAAGAAATTTTTACGAGAGTCGCAATTTTGGGTTTGTTTTGCTTTTATATTTGAAAAATACTTTTTCTTATGTAACCCAACGAACTCTATTCAAAGATAACGAAGAAT